AAAGAAAAGAAAAAAAAAAAAAAAAGTTGCCCTGGTTCCAAATCGAAAAGATTTTTTTTTTTTTTTTGGGGGGGGGGGGGAAGTAACTATCTGTGTATTACTGTGGCTTTTGAATTTTTTTTGTCATTTGATTATTTATTTATGGTTTTTGGCTCTGGAATGATGTATATGGATTTGATTTCTGTGTATTAGAGACTTTTAGGGCAAGTTTACTAATTTGAGTAAATACCAAATAACTTAAACACCAAATAATTTAAAATACCAAAGTAATATGTGCTTCCTGAATTTAAAACTTGGACAAGCACAAAAAGGTACAAAGTAGAGAAATGTTCTCCACAATTAAACCACCTATTGCGATTTTATTCTGTGTTCTTTTAGTGTTCTTTTTCAAGGTTCTTTTAGTGTTTTAGTGTTTTTTTCAAGTAGTCGTTTAATATGCATCCCTCACTCCTATCTTGTCCAACCATGGATAAATTATATTATGTTATTATAATCAACAAATAGGACTTGGCTATTGGCTAGACTCAGGCACTGTACTAGTTGCTGTGAACACAATTAAACAGGAAATAGTCACTGCCCTTGAGGAGCCAGACAAAATACCTACACACATTGATTAAATTTAGAAACATCTGTGGTGCTGTTACTAGATGCCTGGCATTGTGCAAAGCACTCTATATAGATTAGCTCAGCTGCAAACAGCCTTCTGAGGTAGTTATTGAGGTCTTCATGTTACAGATGGAAATTGGTGCTCAGAGAAGTTATGTACATTACCCAAGGTTGCACAGCTACTAAGCAAAGCTGAGACTGGATTTAAAACTTGTACCCAGCACAGTGCCTGGCACATAGCAGGTGCTCAGTGAATACTGTTGGCTCATGCACTAATGGTACTGCTTGCTGGCCAAGCTAATTTATGCCAAAGACCTGATGGGTGATCCAGAAAGTAAATATTGCAGTTTTTGGAGAAGGCAAAGAGAACCCAGAACAAGGTATTCTGGAAAGACTTCATGGAAGGTGCCTTTAAACTGGGCTTTGAAGGGAAGACAAAATGGGGAGAGAATAAAATGACTTCCAGACTGGAGAGATGACTTGGACAGAGGTATGGGGACAGGAAAGTCGATAATGGCCCAAGAAGCAGGGAGCAGAGTGGTTTAAGTGGAGGGAGGTTCATTGCATGGTGAGTGGAAGAGGAGGTTGGGCAGGTACAATGGCTCAGATTGTGGAGGGGCTCGAATGTGTGTCAAAGACTCAAAGAAGGTTATAAGCCAGGTGAGTTTTATGATGTAAGTGATATTTTAAGAAGATTAATGGTTAGATATTAAATTAAAGTGAATCATAGGGAAAAGAGAGAGGCAGAAAGACTTTTGAAAAACTTTTATGGCAGGGGTGGAGACATAGTAAAAATAATTCACATTATCCAGTGTGGTTCCTGTTTTCTAGCTGAAATAGAATTCCTCCTGCACCTTTGATGAGGACTAGATTCTTCAGAGCTGAAAGCTGAAATTTCACTAAGTGCAGTTCCCCACAGATAGTAACATTGGCATCGCTACAGTCAAGAACAGTAGCAATATGGCACCTGTGTCCCATGTGCAAGACGCCTTTTGTACATTATTACATGTATTTCTCATACCCCTGAACATAGCAGAGGCACTGGGCACAAATAGGTTAAGACCTAAAACAAGTAATATTCACTGCCCTGGGAGTCATCAAAGGAGTAAGGAATCAAATCCAAGTTTGTTGAGCTCCAGCACCCACGTTCTTATCCCTACACCATGTTGTGTTTTATCTAGAAGAGGACCAGAGCAGAGAGAGACTCATTCCAAGGCCTGGTGGTAGAGTAGGAGACAGGAGGGAGATTGTGAGTGGCAGAAAACAGAGAAGGACGAAAGAGAAGAAATAGAGGGTGGGTATGTCAGGGACTAATGAGGGTTTCCCTGGGATCTGAGGTTGACCTTTTCTTTACCATGTGATAAAATGAGAGCAAAGACAGGTGACTTTAGTAAAAATATAGACCAACAGTAATTAAATGGAAAAGGTGAATAATAAGTATAAAAACACCCAATTATTACCTGGTCAGCCTGGGAATGGTGATGGGTGGTGGGTTGAAGTAATGAGTGGAAGAATCTTTATTACTTATGGAATTTGGTGGGGATTTGTTGTTATTCTTAAGTGGCATGATGATGGATGATCTTTTATATTCTCTCTTATAATGATTTTAATTTAAAAATGTTTTTAGGGAGGAGGGAGGGAGGTTTCGGTGATGGGCCATAATAATCAACTACATTGTATATTGACAAAATAAAAATTGCAAAAAAAAAAATGTTTTTAAAAGACTCAGAAAAAGTACTGTTTGAGAAAGAAATATGCCTTCAGATTCTTTTTTGCATGTGCTTCACAGATAAATTTGGGCAGCGGGCATTTGTGGGCAAAGTATGCATGGATTTGAATGACACTGTTCCGGAGTACAAGGAGACCACTAAGGAATCGGTCACCGAAACAGAGAGGTAACATGTCCATTTGTCTTACGGGTGGGTCTCTCTGCTGCACTGAAGGAGTTAGAGACAGGGAGGGGAAACCAGATACTGTTAGGCCCAGTTGGGAGATGCACATAGTGATTCAGAATGTTCTGTTTAATACAGTGGGTCAGCTAGTGTGCAGAGAATCTGATCAAACAGTTGGCAATCTTGAACAATTTACAGAGAGCTTTCTTCTGCATTGCACTCTTGATCGTCATAGAAATCTCTGTGAGGCATCTGGGTTTTGTAAGTCTGAGTGTGAGATAGGCTAAGTGACTTGGCCACGGTCACACAGCTTTGAAGTGGCAGAGCCGGGATTTAAAACCAGTGTTTATGACTCTAAATTAGAGTTCTTTCTACCATGACAGAGACCACCTTGTGTTCAATGTAAATAGAGAGTGAGAGAAAGAGAGAGAGAAGAAAAACAGTGTGCAAGAGCATTTTCTATGGTGCTTGTATATTAAATACGATGGTTGAAGTGAGGAATCACTTATGGAATAAAGTATACAAAAAGTTGGGAAAATGACTTACACTTACAGATTAATAAAAGACCTTTCAATAAAATAGAAAAAAAATGTAAATACCAAAATAATATATGCTTCCCTAGTTTAAAACTTGGAGAAGCACAAAAAGGCTCAAAGAAAAAAATGTTCTCCATAATTAAACCTCCTACTGCAATTTTATTGTGTGTTCTTTTAGTGCTTTTTTCAAGGTGGTATATGCATCCCTCACTACTATTTTGTCTGACCATGGGAAGAGAAAAATTATTCTAGATATATACTGGAATGGCCATAATATGCTAACGTAGGGAGCTAGGATATCCCCTCTCCAAAAATGTGACCTTTACAAGGTGAAGTGCAGGCGTCCAGGAGGGGAGACCATGGTTCCTTCTCCTGCCTTGGTTCCACATCTGTGTGCTCACAGGGAGTGGAGTCTTGGTGTGCTACCTACAATAAAGCTTCTGAGAATATTCTGTTGTGACACAAAAGCTGAAGAGAGACCATCAGAAGGACTAAGGTCCACTCTACTGCTGCTAGGAATAGAGCAGGGTTCACCAAAGGTTAGGGGCAGCCTACTTTGGGAAGATCTCTATCTCAAAGGATAGGGCGCCATATACAGGTAAAATCATAAAAAGTAGGGTAGGGTTTTGTAAGGGAAATGAAAACATATGTCTCTAGGAATAGAGCAGGGTTCACCAAAGGTTAGGGGCAGCCTACTTTGGGAAGATCTCTATCTCAAAGGATAGGGCGCTATATACAGGTAAAATCATAAAAAGTAGGGTAGGGTTTTGTAAGGGAAATGAAAACATATGTCCAAATAAAGACTTGCATGTGAGTGTTCATAGTATCCTTATTCATAGCAGCCAAATGTGAAGCAGGTTCACTGTGCACCGGTATTGATTCCAGGGGAGGATTCTAAACACCTAGCCAATAGCACACACCCATGTCAATCCACCTGCATGAGAGCAGTGAGACCGAACACTCACACAACAAGTTAAATGAAGCAAGTTTATTACCTACAGATAGGCAGGAAGGGACAACAAAAGCCTAGGATTTATAGTCAGCTCATCTCACAAGGCTCAGGAAAGTTGCTCAGGTGGCTTCAGTCTCATCTGTGCATGCTCCGTGTCATATCACAGCTGAGGGACCCTGAAAGCACGTATGCCTGGGGTTTTATACAGAGGGGCAACTTCACTCACTGGCCTAAAGTGTTGCAGGATATTCTGTTTTAGGAAGAATGGGAACTGAGCCCAGGCTGTTACAGCCAGTTCTTCCTTGTCTCAGGACGTAGTATTCCCAGCACATTCTGCAGTTATTCTGAGAACTGCAAGCAAGAAAGAGGGGGAAGAGCTGGGCCACCATGGCCATCTGAGGACTTGTCCCACACCAAACAATGGAAACAACCCAAATGTCCATCAGCTCATGAAAGGTTAGACAAAGTGTGGTATATGATGGAATATTATTCAGCCATAAAAAGGAATGAAGTACTGATACATGCTACGAGGAAGAAACCAAATACAAAAGCCCAAAATGTATGATTCTATTTATATGAAATATATAGAAAGTACAAATCCATGGAGACAGAAAGCTAGATTAAGAATTTCCTGGTGCTGGGAGTATAAATGACTATTTACTGTAGATGGACCAAAAAGTTAATTAAGGTGATGAGAATGTTCCAAAACTGGATTATGATGATGGTTGCACAGCTCAGTAAATTTGCTAAAAATCATTGAATTGTGCTCTTTAATATAGGTGTATTTTATGGTATGTCAATTATACTTTGATAAAATAGTTTTTAAAAATAGGAGTATGTGTGTGCTGTATGTGTTCATGTATATTTGTGTTTTCAAGTTCACATCCCCTTTCGATAAAAGTTGAGTAGAAAGGGATTAGTTTTTTCTTTTTAAGTAAATATATTTTTGAAAGGTTGCTTTTGAACTCACAAAGGAATATTTTTTTTTACGAAGACTTTGTAAGGTATAAATAGCAGTAGAGCACATTTTCAGAGACTGCAGCTATCTATAATTTTCTCCTGTGGTACAGTATTTCTCTGGATGCTTCGAGCATTCTTCCTCTCATTTTTCTCCCCTAATCCCACACAGTTTAATCAAAACTCAAAAAAAAGGCCTGAGAAATTCAAGACGTATCAACACACTCTGACGTCTCTCTATAATGTAGAATTAAAATTGAAAGATGAATTAATGCATGAATTTTTTTTTCCCATTTGCCGAAGTCACTGTGTGAGTTTACCCAACTTGATGATTTGGTCTGTTCCTAAAAATTTTTTGCATTTCAGTACTGTTTTTGTGTATCAAATTATATTTTAAAGCCTCCAGGAACCTGCTATAGGAATCCTAGGGCAAATCCCTTTGTAAAATAAAGGGTTCTTTTTTAAAGTAAATGATTTGCCCTCTTGCTAGCCTTCGTTAAAAATCAGGGCTTCTCCTGTAGATTGCATTTGCTCTTAAGTACACGTGACTGTTCATTAAATTATTTTTGGTGTGGATCATGCTATTGCTTGAGATTGTGAGTTGTCATTTTGTTCTTTTTCATATAACAATGGGATAGTCTACTGATCATATAAATGCTTTGCTTTTATTATATTTCTTTAATGGCTTTTCCATAGTATCTTGAGGATTTGATGTTGGATTACATTCAACATCCAAAAAACATAGGAGAAAATTCTTTATATATATGAGGATAGTTCAAAAGTTCATGGAAAGATTTTATTATCTTTCAGTTCCGTTTTTCCACAAACTTTTTGCAGTACCCTTGTACATCTTTCCGACGACCAAACCTATCCTAGTGCAAGTTTTAGAAGTCCAACATTTTTCCTGCTCCCCAGGCCTCCTATTTTTCCACAAACTTTTTGCAGTACCCTTGTACATCTTTCCCACCACCAAACCTATCCTAGTGCAAGTTTTAGAAGTCCAACATTTTTCCTGCTCCCCAGGCCTCCTTCACCTTACATGGGTCCTCTGGAAAGGGGAGAAGTGGGGTTGCTACATGCTCACAGAGAGGAAGAAATACCACCTTCGCCTTGGCATTGGCCATATGCACAGCTTGTCTATTAATTCATTTTTGTGGTTTTGTAGTAAACTCTAATTCACATTTTATTCTGAAACAAAGGAATACCAGAAGGCAGGAAGCTATAGCTAGTCAACTTTTCCATCCAGGGTGGAAGTCGCCATTTCATAGGCTTTACTTTTCCCCCATCCCTGCAGGCGTAACTGGTCCATGCTTCATATCCATCTCTAGCTTATTCCTTCTGCCATACTCCAGCAGCCACCCCCGTAGGACTCTGCTCTTGGAAATAAATAGTGATATTGTGTGAACAAGTAGTTTCCATTCTAGGGGGATTAGAAGTAGAGAACCCCATGGTTTCTAAACACCTCCAAGTGCACAGGACTCCATTACTCTACAGTCCATGGAGCATAACATATTGCGATATTCCCCCATACAGAGCTGGAGCTAGTAGAACAACTTGAGTGTTGCAGGAATACTTGTGAACAGCCTGTCTGATGCTAGATGATGACATTCCATTTCCCTGTGATTTTGCACCCCATCTCTGGCTGCAAGTGAGGAAGCAGAGTAATTACTACTTGTTAATCTTTAATTAGTGGTGGTGAAACATGTGCAGCTTTGGAAATGTTTGCATGGAAATTAGGACATGTAAGGATCATGTTTTCACCCTTTTTAATCGTTTATTTGAAAATGCTTAAATTTTCTAACTTCATACTTGTTGCTTTATTTTAGATTTGTGTCAGAAATGCTTCGAAGGAACGTAAGTAAATTTGTTCAGAGCTTCAAGGTGTACAATGTGATGGTTTGATGTATGTATACATTGTTTAATAATTATCACAAATTAATTAACACGTCCATCACCACCCGTACTGAAGATCTCTAGTACTTGTTCATCTTATAACTGATAATTTGTACCCTTTGATCAACATCTCCCCATGTGATCCAGCAATCCCACTTCTGGGTATATATATCCAAAGGAAATACAATCAGTATGTTGAAGAGATATCTGTACCTCCATGTTCATTACAACATTATTTGCAAATGCCAAGATATGGAAACAACCTAAGTATCTGTGGATGGATGAATGGATAAAGAAAATGCAGTGTCTATATATACACAATGGAATGTTATTCATCCATAAAAAAGAAGGAAATCCTGCTATCTGTGACAACATGTATATATATAGAAGACATTATGCTAAGTGAAATAAACCAGATGCAGAAAGACTAATGCTGCATGATCTCACTTATTTGTGGAATCTAAAAAATGCAAACTCATAGAAACAGAGGTCAGGCATTTCTTTGCTTTTCAATGAAGGCTGGTGCGGCTCTGTACCTAGTCCTCTGTGTTTTATTTGAAATGCAATTTAGAAATCAGGAAATATTTACTGATTTTAGTGGGTTTGATTAATCACCACACAGATAATGTGCAAACATGGAGTTCGCTTTATTCTTATAGTTGCATGTACTTTTCTTGGCTCCCAAGCCTCTCACCTCCATGCAACAGGGAAATTAAATTTAGTCAGGCAGATAAACTTGGTCCCAAGCTTTCAGTTCATCTAGGATATGAAAAATCTTAGTTACTGCCAAGTTTAGAGTCACCATCCCAAAGCAACTTTCCCTTTCTTAGTGGTTTTCAACCCTCTCCTCTGAGACCTTCTAATTTCGCAGGACTGGTGACTAGGGAGGGAAGAGAGGACATCATGGATATGGGCAGATAGGTGGAATCAGAAAGTTGTGGGATTCTGGTAGCTATGTCAACATTGGCGCAGGCCACTTGTACCCCCGCTGTGATCTGAAACACAGGCAGTGATGCCCCAGCCACTGGCTGCCGTGGTCCATACATGTGTGGCCATCAGATGACCTTCAGGCACTTGGCCAGGTGCCCTGTTTTGCAGTGTGTTGGCTTTGGTGAGCCTATGGAGACAACCCTATTTCCT